CGGGGCGGGCGCGGGGGCGGGGAGGGAGAAGTTAGGGCCCGCCTCTCCACTCCAAGGCTGGAGACCGCACGCTGGGGCCTGTCCTACCTGGGTAGCGCTGGGCAGGCTGGGACAGCACACAGAACTCGGGGGAGGGGGACACAACAGAGGCAGAGGCGGGGCAGCTGAGGCCACCTCCCTCTATGCCTCCTTTTCAGGGAACTCCCCTCCCCAGGCCAGCCTCCAACTCCTCACACCCAGCCCGGACACCTCCCCGCAGCCTCTGACTCCTCCAGGTCTTAAACACCTCCTCCAGAACTCAGAGTACTCTCCCCACTCAGGGCAGAGTCCCTAATCTGGGTGTCTACCCCAGGCTTCATCTAGGCCCCCTCTCCACCCACGACGCCAGCAGCACTCCAGTTCCACAGGGTAGAAGTCTAAGACGTCATCCTTACCTGGGATCTACACAGGAACCCCTCCCCCAAACCCTGGTTTCACCCAAGGGACTGGAGACCCTGCTGCAATGGAACAGGAGGCCCCCATCCATTCAGAAACCCTCAAGAAGCCTTGGCTCTTACCCCTCATATCCTAGGACTATTCACTCCTCTGAACCACCAAATCCAGGCCCCACCTAGAGAACCCCGCCAAAGAAAGAGAGAGACCCTCCTATCTAGGAAGTCAAAGGCTCTCTGCTCAAGTGGAAGCCTGGAAGCCTTCTCACCCCAAATCCCAATCCCTTGACTCTCAGTATCCCGGCACCCCTGGAGTGTAGGACCTCACTCTTTAGTTCACCTTCCGCCAAGGTACAGGGCGAGGTTCCTTCCCTCAGAAGCTCAAAAGGTCCCTGCTCGATCCAGGAACCCAAGACCCAATCTTTTGGCCCTCAGAGACCCCTCCCATAATTCACACGAGAGGGAAACACACCAGGTCTTTGAGTGCTGCTAAAGGTGTGCGGAGAGGTGATTAGGGAGCGTGGGCCACCAGATTTCCATCTTCCTTCACCTACACGCTTCCAGCAGCCCCAGCCTCTCCGGTCTGGGAATTCTGGGGATGGGGATTCCCAAACCCTCCGTGGAGCGCCTCCTCGCTATCCCTATCCCTTGCCCGCTCTCCTGGGCCTCAGTTTACCCCTGACCCCCGCCGAGGCCCTGAGTCTCGCTCACCGCGCGCCCGGAGCGACGCCTCCGGGACCCACGCGCGAACATGGCGCGCCCGGGCAGGGTCAGGACGGGCCGGGTCAGGCGAAAGGAATTCTCGCGTCCGTCAGGCCACCGCGCGTCCTGCCTGGAAGCTCTGTTCCGTAAACCTGACACCGGCCAGGGGAGGAGCGCGCCCCGCAGCGCCCGCCCCTGAGCCTGCTGTCTCTCCCGGGCCAAGGCGCCCCCTGCCTAGAGGTGAAGGGCACGCATCCCAGGAACGCTGTGCAGGAGAGCTCCCCTGCCCTGCTGCGGCGCGCCCCAGAAACCCGAGGTGCCATGTGGCCTCTCACAGGGTATTTTAGGGATTGAAAGCTCTGTAGTGGAGGAGGGAGACTTGGTAGTGGCGATCTGACTGTCAGGAATGGGGCGATAGGGTTTGTATTGGCCCTTCGTGCCCATTTATCTTCGATCCTTATTTGGAGGAGGGGTTAAAGCCACCTCTTGGCCTCTTCCCCATTAGTGATGTTCCGAAGGACTCTTTCCCCTGTATGAATGGTGCAAGAATGGTCCCCAAATCCATCGCAGCCCTAGCTGGTGCTCCCTCATCCGTATCAGAGAGCTAAATCTTATACACCCCACACAGCCCTGCTCCCATCCCTTCAGAACCAGGATTATTTGAGATTTATGAGGAGGAGGTTAAAGTCACTGGCCAGGTTCCCATGTCCTCTCCCCCTCCCCCATTCTTACAGGCCCAGCTGTCATGCCCCCTAAATCCTGAGAAGGTCTAATAGCCTTTCCTCCCCTGCTCCCATTTTTCTCTCTCCAGTTAGATATCCTTTTCCCTGAGCTCAGTCGCAGAGCTGGGAGTCTCTCCTTCATGTTCTACAGCTTTGCTGTGCCTCGGGGCTGGGAGGAGGGGGTCCCTGGCCAGCAATCAGAACGTGGGCGCCCGGCTGGGGTCTCTAATTAAGCCTGGTGGAGGCGGCGGTCAGCCGGGCCTTTCATCGCAGGCGCCAGGGATTTCCAGGCCCCATCCCGCCCCATTACGCACATCTCTGTCACTTCCCGCCTCTTCTGGCTCCAGGGCGGGGTTAAAGGGGATGAATGATTGGCTCCCCGCCCCCCTGTCTTGCAACCTACCTGGTCTCCCGGTTTTCCAGCTGCAGGGTAGGGGAGGCAAGGATACGAAGAGATAGCAGGTTCTGAAAAATCCGAGGATATGAGTAGAGGGAAGGTCTCCCTGTGAAGTATGGGGTCCTATTGGAACCTCTTGAGGATTTGAGAACAAGGTGGGGAGGGCACGTGGCTAAGGGACCAGAGTTAGAACTGAGCCCTTGAAAGACAACTTTCTGTGGCCAGTAGTGGGGCACTGCACAGGGCCACTCCGAGCATGACCTAGAATGATCTGCAGGCGAGGCATCCCTTGGCCAAATGCTGTTGGGGGGCCTAAAATGATGAGGTGACTTGAACCTCCTCCAGCAGGTCAGTAGTGGTGAAGCTTCCTCTCACATCCTTTCTATCTCTTTCTTTGTGTCCTCCTAAAAAGACACACTGAGGCCCGGTGGGTGTGGTTGAGCATTGTCCCATGTACCAGGAGGTGGCAGGTTTGATTCCTAATCAGCATATGCCTGGGTTGTGGGCTCAATCCCCAGTGGGGAGCGTGCAGGGGACAGCTGATCGAGGTTTCTCTCTCATCAATGTTTCTATCTGTCTCCCCCTCTCCCTTCCTCTCTCTAAAATCAAAACATGTTTTAAAAAAAGACACACTGAGAACTCTGAGCCAGGAGTACTAGGTGGTTGAGGAGTTTATTTAGGGAAGGATAATGAATCATATTTGTTCTTCCTCTGGGAGAGAGTCTTCAAACAATACCGAAGGGCAAGGGCAAGGGTGGGGGTCTGAAGGGGAGGGAGAAGGGCCACAGCCAGACAAAATGGCAACACACAGTCACAGGCACTACTGACATCACAGACACAGCAGAAGGTATAGGTTAGGGGCTCCAGACCAGATCTCTAACCATCCCAGGATGGGTGGGGTGTGGAAGGAGGGAGGAGGCAGGAGAAAGGGGAAGAGGGGTGGGCTGGCCCCACAGGCCCATTAGCTCTGTCCTCTGATTACCTAACTGTGCTGTCGTGGGAGTGGGCAAGGAAGGGTATGTGTGGGTGCTTCTCTCTGGATTCCACCCCTAACCCTTCAAGCCATACCTCTCAGCTCTCCCTAGGCCCCCTCAGGCCTAGCCTTAGCGAGGAATATTGCCCCCCACCCCTAACAAAACACATCCCTTAGGCCCTAGCCACTGCCAAACCTGCCCAACTTCAAAACATATATTCTTTACTGTTCCATTGTGGGGTGGTGGGGCAGGGTCTCCCCTCTGAAACCACCAAGCATGCCCCATTCTAAGCCCCACCCTATCTAGAACCTTGACCACGCCCTCACCCCAAGGGTGGCCCAGTACTGAATCACCCTTTCAGCCTTCCCACTTTAGAGTCAAACTCAGTCTCCTGAATGTTCCAAGCCACACTCCTTCTGTAGACTCTGTCCCAATCCAAGACCCACCCACTCTGGAGCTTCACCCACTGCCTGGTTCAAGCCACACCCCTTCTAGAACTCTCAGCGTTCTTCCAAACCCTGTCTCCAGGACCCCAAGTCACACCCCTTCCATAGAACCAAGTCCTATTACAAGCCCTGACCATGCAGGGGGTCCACCCACTGCTTCACTCAACGCTATGATCTTTCTAGAAACTCACCCTCAGCCTCCTCCCAAACTTCTTTCCAGAATGCTCTAGGGCACCCCTCTCCTTTGGACTCCACTTCTAGTATGTCTGGAACCCAACCTCCCTGCTTATAGTCCCCTCCATCCCAGAGCCCCTCTCCAAGACCACCTTGAATCCCAAGCCCTCCAATATCTGCCTTCCCCCCCAAATCAGGGTTGAATTTTCTGTAATGGCCATTGTTCAAACATTGCTGGAGAAGTCAAGGCCAGAGTTGGGAGGAGGGGAGGGAGAGAAGGGAGAGACTCTGAAGTCAAGCCCACCCTACCCACACAGCCAAGGTCTGTCTCTTCCCTGTCCCTCTTTCAGAATCATCCTCAACCTCAGGGCACAGGGCCAGGGAACAGAGAGGGGCCAAGAGATGCAGGGAAAGGGCTAAGGATAAGAGAGGGGCCCACTAAAGATTGGGGGCCCTAATGTATAAGGGGAGCAGAGTGGGGGCGGAGCTCAGACAGACAAATAGATATC